GCCCTGGGCGGCCAATGACAGCCAGGGGCGCGTCCTGGGCGGCCAATGACAGTGCAGGGCATGATATTTAAAGATGCCCTGCACTGTCACAGGTTGCCGCAAAGTCTGATCTGCAACCTGAGTTCCTGTGCCCTGTGATTATTGACCCGGATTGTTTGACCTCTCTACCTGCTCCAGCTCTGACCCAGATTGCTCCTGACTACGCTGCCTTCTCCTGAGTTTGACCTTGATTGCCCCTGACTACGCTGCCTTCTCCCATCCTGACCCCGGCTTGTTTGATCATTCTGCGGACTGACTACATTACTGACCCTGCGTGTGACCTGACTACTCTCTGCCTGCCGTCTCTGTACCTCGCCGTCCCCCACGGTGACAACCGCCTGTTTACCCTGCCTGGTCCTGCCGGCCTCCTCACATCTGGCTCTCTTCTGGAATACATACATCCCTGGAGGTTCCCTCTGCCACTGGTGGGATTGCTCGGAGGTCGTGACCTGGTCCTGGTTCTGCTCCAAGTCCATCCCCACCATCAGGGGCCCTGGTGAAAATGCAGACCGGGACTTAGACTCCACGCTTCGGGTAATCCTGTCAAGTGGGCTGCCAGAGGCACCACCTGGCGGATCCGTAACACAAATGCAGTGCAAACAAAAACCAAACCTTAAATGAATATTAATATGTACAATTGTGGTCAGGGTTGGAGACATGGAGTGGTCAGGCAGGCTGGGTCAGGAACAATCGGGCAGATAAGGTACAACAGGAGCAGGCAGGAGAATGGTCAGAAATAGCCGGGGTCGGTGCAGGCGGAGTTCTAGCAGAGTCAGAGTCAAGCAGGCAGAAGACAGGATACAGGATCAGGGCACATGGGAAAACACCAAGGCACTGATTGCAGGCCTGGTACTGCTTAAATACACCTCCTGCAATCAGCCTCAGGTGATGGCTTGATTGCAGGAGTGAGATCCTGGCTGCTGAAAGCACTCGCTGGCAAGCACCGGTACTGCAGCCCACACAGCAGGTGAGCCCCAGCACCACCAGTGGCGAGTCCTTTCCCGACAATGCCGGCCAGCTCCACATCTGTCTCCCTTCTGCTACCATGCTTGTCCAGCGAGACGCGGACGTATAGGCACCTGTGACAGCCGTTCCACACTGTATACTAACATGCCTGTATTACGCAACTTACATGTGAGTGTTCCTACTTTTATGCTGAATTAAAGTGCTCTGCTGCACTTAGAGGCGCTTCTTCTTCTCTCCTTTTACTACACAGAGTTCTGCTACACTACTGCATGAAGCTTGCTCTTAGTGCCTTACGAACCCCCCTAATCCAAGTCACTCACACTATTTCCACTAACTATTGTACTTTTTGGACTTGGTTCCAGTATTTACGCCGATTACCATTTCTTTCTACTCTTACTTATGTTTAAAATCAAGCACCTAGGCATGCAGACTGCTTCTACAAACATTTGTGAAAGAATGGGTCGCTGTCAGGAGCTCAGTGAAATTTCTTCGCTACTAAATATTCCACGGTCAACTGTTAGTGGTATTATAACAAAGTGGAAGCAACTGGGAACAACATCAACTCAGCCACAAAGTGATAGGTCACGTAAAAGGACAGAGTGGGGTCAGCGCACACAGTGTGCAGAAGTTGTCAACTGTCTGCAGAGTCAATAGCTAAAGACCTCCAAACTTTATGTGGCCTTCAGATTAACACAACAATACATAGAGAGTTTCATGGAATGGGTTTCTATGGCTGAGCAGCTGCATCCAAGCCTTACATCACCAAGTGCAATGCAAAGCATCGGATGTAGTGGTGTAAGCACGTCACCACTGGACTCTAGAGGAGTGACAAATCATGGTTCTGTCGTGTAATCCAATGAAAGTGTCTGGGTTTGGCAGTTGCCAGGAGAAGGGTACTTGCCCAACTGCATTGTGCCAAGTTTGGTGGAGAGGGGATGATGATGTGGGGTTGTTCTTTAGGGGTTGGGCTTGGCCCCTTAGTTCCAGTGAAGGGAACTCTTAAGGTGTCAGCATACCAGACATTTTGGACAATTTCATGCTCCCAACTTTGTGGGAACAGTTTGGGGATGGCCCCTTCCTGTTCCAACATAACTGCGCACCCGTGCACAAATCAAGGTCCATAAAGACATGGATGAGTGAGTTTGTGGTGGAGGAACCTGAATTGCCTTCACAGAGTCCTAACCTCAACCCGATAGAACACCTTCGGGATGAATTAGACCAGAGACTGCGAGCCAGGCCTTCCCGTCCAAAATCTGTGCCTGACCTCACAGATGTGCTTCTGAAAGAATGGTCAAACAGTCCCATAGACACACTCCTAAACCTTGTGGACAGCTTTCCCAGAAGATTCAAACTGTTATAGCTGCAAAAGAGAGGGCCAACTCAATATTGAACCCTACGAACTAAGACTGGGATGCCATTAAAGTTCATGTGCATGTGAAGGCAGGCATCCCAATACATTTTTAGCAATATAATATACGTGAACCTGCACTTATGCTTTCTCTTCGCCCAGTGATAACAATCACTGTAGTATGACAAATCACTGTGGTAAAAGTAAAAATGGTTTATTACCTTCTTTTTTCTCTCTTATTTTATTTCCTGTATTCTTCCTTATGCCTCTCCTTTGGCAACGTCTCACTTTTCTATCCCATTATCTAGCTTGATAAAATATTCATTTGAATATGTATGCTTATCTGACATGATCATGTGTCCATGTCTAGTGTGCTTTTATAAATAAAGAATTTAAAAATACTGAGTTTGTTTTTTTTTTTACTTATAAGTTAGCGAAAAATACTTTTATCCCAGTGTCTTCCAGGACAGCCCCTTGAGACGTAGAGCTCCTCCCTCTGGGACAGGAAACACATAATCCCAACGCCTTAAAGGCTGGCCTCCTCCTCAGTTTTTATTGTTTCCTGATCTGGAAGGAGTACACGTTTAGGAACCTGAAGGGTCTCTACACTCTAGGGGCAGCATGAGTTCTCAGGCAGGTTCAGAGGAGGATGAGGAAGAAACTAGCTCCTCCAGAGGTTCCAGGTACAAGTTGGCCCTGGATGATGTGGACGACCTCCTGAAGGCTATCTATGAAACCTTAGAGATTGAAGAGGAGGAAGTTTGTTTATCTAAGCATGACCTCATGTATCAGGGTCTTCATACCAAGAAGAATATGGTCTTTCCGGTCCATAGCTCCCTGGCTGATACCATTAAGCAGGAGTGGGAAAACCCTGAAAGGAAGCCCTTTTTTCCTCAGGTAATCTAAAAAGAAGATTTCCTTTCAAGGAAGATGGGTTCTAGCCTTGGAACAAAGTTCCAAAATTGGACGCCCCCTTATCCAGAGTTTCCAAGAAGATTGACTTGGCATTTGAGGATATGGGGGCCCTACAGGACTCCATGGATAAAAGAGAGGAGATCTTGCTGCACAGAGCATGTGAGTCCTCCTCTATTTAGCCTTAAGCCAGCTCTATCGGCCACCTGTGTTGCCAGAAACCTCAGGTGCTGGCTTACCCAGTTTCAGATACACTTGGCGGCAGGAACCACTAGGCAGCAGAACTTAAAATCTTTGCCTTTACTGTTTAAAGAGGTAGATATTCTCGCGGATGCCACTGCAGAATCAGTTAAACTAGCAACAAAAAGACTTCGGACCTGGTAAACTCAGCCAGGTGGGCTTTATAGTTAAAAACCTGGGCAGGGGATTCAGCATCTAAGCTGCACCTCTGTGCCTTGCCCTATACAGGTGACAACCTATTTGGTCCTGGTCTAGAGGAAGCCTTGGAGCGTACAGCCGACAAAAAGAGCGTTTCCGGAGAGTAAAAAGAAATCTTATTCCAGGAAGGTTTTTCGTCCAAAATCGCAGGTACAACAGATCAAGGTTGTTCAGCCCAAAAAAAAAAATGGACGGGACACAAAAATAGAGGAAAAAGGGGGGGAATCTATTCAATCCTCCTCAAGGCCCCTCCAAGCCGTAATGACTTAGGTCCCCAGTCGTCCTCCCACTGGGACACCCATCTCCCCAAACCCCTATATTCTGGACATGATAGAAAAGGGTGGGGAGGGTACAGGTTAGAGTTAGACCCCTTTCCCCCTGCCAGATTCCTGGTAACCAACCTTCCCAAGGACTGAAACAGGGCACAAGCTGTGTGGCCTAATTGGAGACTTAGTGGACCAGCAGGTCCTAGTTCAAGTCCCTCAGAGCACTGACATACTCACTTCCTGCTAATAGAGAGTTACTGACTGCCTTTGGTATGTCTCTGTATTTAGCGCCCTCCTAGTTAGCTAGGGGGAGCTAGAGTCCTAATTGATAGGAGGTAGCAGCCTGGGTGTAATTACCAGAAGGTCAAATTGTGGTCAAGAGCTGAGAGGCTCTACAGGTCAGCTGCTCTGGTATTTTTCCACTGCTCTAGAGCTTCGGAGGAAGGCCTAGAGGCAGTGGGTGGATCTAAGCAGTGGCTGGCTTGCACTCTTGAGGGATCCTAGCCAATCTCCAACAGAAGACTTTGCAAGGCACTGGGACACCCTTAACCACTTGCCTATCGGGCACTTTTATCCCCTTCCTTCCCAGGTCAATTTTCAGCTTTCAGCACTGTCGCAATTTGAATGACAATTGTGTGGTCATGCAACACTGTACCCAAACAAAATTTCTATCATTTTTTTTTTTTAAGATAGATAGATCTTTCTTTTGGTGGTATTTAATCACCACTGGGTTTATTTTTTTGCTAAACAAACTAAAAAAACTGAACATTTTGAAAAAAAATGTTTTCTTAGTTTTTGTTATAACATTTTGTAAATAAGTAATTTTTTTCCTTCACTAATGTGTGCTAATGAAGCTGCAGTAATGGGCAGTGATAGGCTGCACTGATGGTCACTGACAGGTAGCACTGATGGGGAGGCACTGATGTGCATTGAGAGGCATCACTTGTGGGCATTAACAGGCTTCACGCATATATGTCACTGTTAAGCAGCACTGACAGGCACCGATAGGTGGCACTGATTGTCACTGATAGTTGGCACTGAAAGGCAGCTCTGATGGGCACTGATATGTGGCATTGATGTGCACTGGTATGTGGCACTGATGGGCACTTACAGGTGGCATTGACAGGTGGCACTGATGGGGCTACACTGATCATCAGTGCCCTGGTGTTTAGTGTAGATGTCCCCTCTGAGGAATGCTGATTACTGGCTCTCCTCTCGCGCGTTCAGCATGAGGGGTCTGCCGATAACCGACATTTCCCTTGTTTACATGCGGGCAGCTGTGATTGGACACAGCTGATCACATGTCAGAGCCAACATCATCGGCTCTTTACTCTGGTGATCTGCTATGTCTCAGGAACACAGCACACCACCGATTGCTGCGCTGCATGCCCCCTGGGATGCGCATGCACAGTTAGAGTGGGAGGACGCCATATGACATTCTCCCAGAACGAGAGAACTGCCACCCGCCCATCATTTCTTTATATGGTGGGTGGGAGGCAGTTTAAAGTGTTGGAGCCTGGTCAGTTGCAGGAGAGTTCAGGTGGAAGATAATGAGGCTGAAGGCAGGAGGCTGCGAAGAGGCCTACCTTCAGGCCTGGATCTGGAAAGGAGGAAAGCCCAGAGCTCACTGGCCCCCAGATCGAGGACCACCTGTACGGCAGTGAAGGAGCGGCTTAGCTGATAAGCCTTGTAGCAGCCACCAATGGTACAGGAGAGAATCTGAGTTCCCCTGCACCCCCTGGGTGGATAGGGGAAGGAGCACACACTGGTGGGAAACCAGATTCGCTACCTACCAGTGACTGTTCATCTCTTAAAGTGACAGGAACTGGATCCCCTGTTGAGGGGTACCTCCAGATTTCTGGGTGAAGGAGTTAAACTAGGGTCTCGGGTGGTACATTGCAAGATGCTGGCTGGCTCTCGATCAGAGATTGTGTTGCAATGAACGCTTGTAAATAGTTTCAGGAAGTTGTCCTCAGTTCATCAGGTCCCTTGCTGTAATGCACCGCCTGGCAGTACTTCTAGCAACCCACGGGATAGGGTTCCCCAGAGCGTGGAGTCCAAGTCCCAGTCTGCTTGTTCACCAGGGCCCCTGATGGTGGGGATGGACTTGGAGCAGACAGAGACCAGGTTGCGGCCCCTGAGTACACCCACCCGTGGTAGAGGGATCCGCCAGAGGTATATACTGGAGAAGAGCCTGACGTGAAGAGGCGGATAGGTCCATGCAGGACGGATGGATGGATGGCAGAGTAGAAGCGTGGTCAGGCCGAGTCGGTAACGGTGGGGACAGCGCGGGTACAAGGCAGCAGGCACAGAGTAGTCAGTTTACTCGCCGGGTCAGTAACAGGAGGTCAGATCCAATGAGGGTATCCAAAAGAGAAGTCAAAACAGGCCAGGGATCAGAGCAGGAGAAGTCAGCAAGGTCAGGATCAAGCAGGGTCGGCAGCAATCAATAACGGGTACACAGAAGCAGGAACAGGGAGATTAGACCATACGGCAACCAGTGTCAGTGTAGAGCGGATTTAAATAGCGCGCTCTGCACTGTCATTGGTGCTAGGCGGCGCGCGCCCGCGATCCCGAGTGCGCATACACGAGTGCCACCGTCGTCGCGGTCGCCCATGACCTAGTGCCCGCACGCTAGTGTGAATCGGTACACTGTGCCGAGCCGCGCGCCACGATGGTTGCTGACACTTGTGCACCTTGTACACCTCTAACACCTCTAACCCTATCTTAGTTCAAAACCCCTAAATAAAAAGCAAAACCAAAAGCTCAAGGACTGATTTATTACTCTGGATGCAAGTCATTGCATTATTACCAGTGTACCCGGAAATCTTCATGCCAGAGATCACACTGGTAGACACGTGCGTCCACCTGGGAATCATGGATGTTTTGCTCAAATTAAGGCCAGGGGCTGAGAGACTCCGCAGAGCAGCCCCTCTGGATATTTCCCCTGCTCTACAGCTTTGGAGGAAGCCCTAGAGACAGTGGGCAGATCTGAGGAGTGACTGACTTGCACTCTTGAGGGATCCTAGCCAATCACCAACAGAAGGCTTGGCAAGAGGTGGGGCTTGGCAAGCTCAAGGATGAATTTCTGGATGCACGTCTTGGTGAAGATGCATGTTGCCTTGATGTACAGGACTATAGGGGGACCCAAATCTCTAGAGACTCCTAAGGGGGTAGTGCCTGGCAAGATATTACATACATATCTAAGTAGAGGGAAATGATGAAGCCAAGATTGTTTTTGTCATCCTGAAGGGGTTGTACAAGTATTGGAGAAGGCCATTGAGTTGTACATATGCTCCTGCTCAGAGGCGGACTGACAACTCATGGGGCCCCTGGGCAATAGGGGATCATGGGGCCCCTGTGTCCTTGCCCAAACTCAAAAAAGCTTATGAAAAAAGGTACCAGGGGCATCTCATGGGGCCCCCTACTGACCCCGGGCAGTGCTTGAATGGTCAGTCCGCCCCTGCTATAAAAGTGCACCAACTGTCCTGGAGTTGCTTGGACAGTTCCACATCTTGGAACCCAGTCCTGATGATGCTGTGCCCTGGGCATGCACAGTAATGCATTCATACAGTGATTGGGGGCTGTGAGTGGGCAGTCCCTACATCATTAGTGGCAGAATTTGGAAAGACACCTCAAGTAATTTGGTGGGGTCTGGGTGGGACCACCTGGCCATTGGACAGGCCTGAAGCAGACTGTGGGCAGGGTTAACCCTGTCCCAGGAATCAGGAAAAGAAATGTTGATAAGCATGTAATTTATTTGGATAAAACTAAAACAATCTAAAAAGTTATGTGAGCTCATAGACTCACCAGCCACTTTAGTAGGTACACCATGCTAGTGCCAAGAAAATATCTCCCACACCATTACACCAACACAACCAGCCTGAACCATTGATACAAGGCAGGATGGATCCATGCTTCCATGTTGTTTATGCCAATTTCTGACCATACCATCTGAATGTTGCAGCAACTAGTCTGCCCATTCTCCTCTGACATCAACAAGGCATTTTTGTCCACACAACTGCCGCTCACTGGAAATTTTATCTTTTTTGGACTATTCTCTGTAAACCCTAGAGATAGTTGTGTGTGAAAATCCTAGTAGATCAGCAGTTTTTGAAATACTCAGACCAGCCCATCTGGAAACAACAACCATGCCACGTTCAAAAGTTAGTTAAATTCCCTTTCTTTCCCATTCTGATGCTCGGTTTGAACTTCAGCAAATAGTCTTCGCCACATCTACATGCCTAAATGTATTGAGCTGTTGCCATGTGATTGGCTGATCAGGAATTTGTGTTACCAAGCAATTGAACAGGTGAACCTAATAAAGTGGCCGGTGAGTGCATACGATCCAATAAATTCTCAAAAACGTCGCTAGGTTGCATGAAATAGTGTTTGGATATTTGTTTTATTAGATCTAACTAGATTGTAGAGCTCAGCATACATTTTACAATCTTTTCTTTTATTAGTTTTTTTTCTTATGTTTTGAGTATGAAATTTATTTTGATGGAAAATCAGCCTAAAAACTTAGTAAGTCATGTGATCAGATTGTAATATGTTGGACCAGCTTTTTGTGTAGTAGTATACTACAAGGTTTCACCTAACACATTGCCTTTCTCAAGAACCAAAATACAATTCCCGAAAACGCATAGCTCAGGCATCTTTTACATCCATACTACAAAAAGTACGTAAAATTGAATGCTCACATAAACGATCTATGGCCATAAACTCTGCGACCGAACTTGATCAGGCACGCAAACAACTTCGAGACGTAGTGGAAAAGAAAACCAAGCGCAACTTTACTCTGTCTCAGAAACTCTTTTATGAACATGGAAATAAGAGCGGTAAGTTTTTAGCCAGGGCCTTACAGTCTAAAAAAGCGGCTTGCACCATTCATCAACTTAATTCCAATCAAGGTAATTTACTTAAAACTTCAGCGGATATTGCAGCCGAATTTGAGCAATATTATACTACCCTTTACAATCTACCCTTACCATCAAAACCGACAGGGGATACTAGACTACGTGAGGTCATTATCCAGACTTTTCTCGCCCAATATCTTCCTAAACCCATTCCCCACTCACAAGCAAGAGAACTAGATGGAACTCTGACAGTGGCAGAACTACAACAGGCCATGTCACAATTAAAACCAGGTAAGAGCCCGGGCCCAGATGGACTTACAACCATGTATTACAAATCTTTCATTGACGTCCTAGCACACCCATTCTTAAAGGCCTTCAATTCACTTGATACAGTTGCAAGAAAAAGTATGTGAACCCCTTGGGATTACGTGGAGTTTTGTATGAATTGGGCATAAAATGTGCTCTGAACGTCATCTAAGTCACAACAATAGAAGAACACAGTCTGCTGAACATAATAATACACAAACATTAGATGTTGCCATGGTTTAATTGCACATAACATGTAAACATTCACAGTGCAGGGAGGAAAAGGTATGTGAGGCCCTAGCTTAATGACTTCTTCCAGAGCTAATTGGAGCCAGGAGTGAGCCAACCTTGACTCCAATCAGTGTGATGATATCGGATGTGTTGCCGACAGCTGTCCTGCCCTAAAAAAAAAAAAAAAAAACCACCACCATACAACACACACCTGTTTTGGGTTTACTGGTTTCAGGAAGCACTGTCCGATGTGAACAATGCCTCGCAGAAAAGAGCTCTCAGAAGACCTACGATCAAGAATTGTTGACTTGCATGAAGCTGGAAAGGGTTACAAAAGTATCTCCAAAAGCCTTGATGTTCATGTGTCCACGGTAAGACAGACTGTCTACAAATGGAGAAAGTTTAGCACTGTTGCTACTCTCCCTAGGCATGGTCGTCCTGTAAAAATGACTGCAAGAGCACAGCGCAGAATGCTGCATGAGGTAAAGAAGAATCCCAGAGTGTCAGCTAAAGACCTACAGAAATCTCTGGCACATGCTAACATTTTTGTTGACACATCTACAATAAGGAAAACAAACAAGAATGGAGTACATGGGAGGACACCACGGAGGAAGCCATTGCTGTCCAAAAAGAATATTGCAGCACGTTTGAAGTTTGCAAAAGAGCACCTGGATGCTCCACAGCACTACTGGCAAAATATACTGTGGACAGATGAAACCAAGATTGAGTTGTTTGGGAAGAACACTCACACTATGTGTGGAGAAAAAAAAAGGCACAGCACACCAACATCAAAACTTCATCCCCACTGTAAAACATGGCGGAGGGAGCATCATAGTTTGGGGCTGCTTTGCTGCCTCAGGACCTGGATGGATTGTTGTCATTGATGGGAAAATAAATTCCAGAGTTTATCAAGACATTTTGCAGGAAAAACGTACAACCATCTGTCCGCCAACTGAAGCTCCGCAGAGGATGGGTGATGCAACAGGACAATGACCCAAAGCATACAAGTAATTCAACAAAACAATGGCTGCAACAGCACAGAATACGCCTTCTGGAGTGGCCCGGTCAGAGTCCTGACCTCAACCCGATTGAAATGCTGTGGCATGACCTTAAGAGAGCGATTCACACCAGACATCCCAAGAATATTGCTACACTGAAACAGTTCTGTGAAGAGGAGTGGTCCAAAATTACTCCAGATCATTGTGCAGGTCTGATCTGCAACTACAGGAAATGTTTGGTTGAGGTTATTGCTGCCAAAGGAGGGTCAACCAGTTATTAAGTCCAAAGGTTCACATACTTTTTCCTCCCTGCACTGTGAATGTTTACATGTTATGTGCAATTAAACCATGGCAACATCTAATGTTTGTGTAGTATTATGTTCAGCAGACTGTGTTCTTCTATTGTTGTGACTAAGATGACATTCAGAGCACATTTTATGCCCAATTCATGCAAAAACTCCACGTAATCCCAATGGGTTCACATATCTTTTTCTTGCAACTGTACTCCAGGACAGTCTATGCACCACCTTTCTGAAGCCCATATTAGGCTTATACCGAAAGAAAACAAAGACCTGACTTTGCCAACAAACTACCGTCCCATATCTCTCCTGAACGTGGAGTTAAGATTTTTGCCAAAATACTGGCCAATTGTTTGCTTCGCATCATAGACCCTATTATCTCTACTGATCAGGTGGGGTTTGTACCCGGTAGAGAGGCTAAAGACAATACGATCAGGGCAATAAATATACATCACTGGTTGACACAGAAGAAACAAACAAACAATCTGGTTTCTTTCTTTCTCTAGACGCTGAGAAGGCCTTCGACAGATTAGCCTGCGATTACATGGAGGCTGTGTTGACTGGCCTTGGGCTTCCTCCACGTCTTTTGACCTTTATCATATCCTTATATACAACACCTACGGCTAAAGTGAGAGTCAATGGCCTCCTTTCAGACACCTTTTCAATAAGTAATGGGACCAGACAAGGTTGTCCATTATCCCCCCTCCTATTCATTCTCACGTTGGATCCTTTTTTGAACTGCATTAGACAGAATGATAACATCAAAAGAATTTTAATCAATGGCAAAATCCACAAAATAGTGGCCTTTGCTGACGATATCTTACATTTCCTGACAAACCCACATATTACACTACCTAACTTACTAAACGATTTCCAATTATTTCAGTACGTGGCCAATCTTAAAATCAACTTCAATAAATCCCAAGCCCTCAATGTCTCCCTAACCCAAGATACTGTCAGGCAGGCAAGAACGAACTTTCCTTTCGCATGGCAGTCCGAGGCCATCATTTACTTAAGAATTCAATTACCAGCTCACCTCTCGGAACTCTATGCAAAAAACCTTTTACCCATCCTACGTAACATCACCAAAGATCTGCAGAAATGGGACAAACCATTTTTCTCTTGGTTTTGCAGAGCAGTGATCCTCAAGATGAACGTGCTTCCTAGACTACTATACCTGATGCAAACGATTCCCATCAAACTGCCTAATTCTTTATTTAAGTCATATAAAACATTGTGTACCTTGTTTTTATGGAGTAACAAACGCCCCAGAATCAGTTTTGAACAACTTACCATGCCTAAGACGAGCAGAGGTATTGGACGGCTTGATATCACCCGATACTATAGAGCCTGTCACATGGCACGAATAGTAGATTGGTCTACAAACCGCAACCGTAAGGCTTGGGTTAATTTGGAAGCTGCATTTTCGGGAACCCCACTCGCCACTTCCCCTTGGCTGAAAAACTCCCACATTCCATCTGAATTCAGGGAACACCTTCTTATAGGCCCCACTCTATCGTGTTATTATCAGTTAAGTCACAAAACAGGTTTCTCTTCTACCCCTGGCCCACTCACTCCTATCAAAATGAACCCAGACTTCCCCCCTGGTATGTCTCGTTCCTTACTCGCCGGGTCTGACCCCACAGATAACTTGAAGTTGCATCAACTCTTCAAGATGAGAGACCTCCTTCTAATCAAATGGCCATCCTTAACCTTGACACCATGGATGTACAGACAGCTCCATCACTTTATACATAGCTCCTCACATTTTAA